TTTTGGTTTGATATTTACCAGGGATGAAAACGGTTTGGTAAGAGTAAATTATATCTTCATACGCACAAAAGATTTTTTGCAGTCAGTTTAACTCTTGTGGTTTGCTTTCTGTGTCCCATTTTTCTCTTTTGATTCTTGACTGCTTGCACACTGAAATCATGTTAGTATGTAAATAAATCTGAAGGAACAGTACAGTTATGGGAAGAGCTGATGAATTATGGCAAAACCAGTTTAAAAATAAGTTTGGGGCATCCTTACTGGTGTCTTGCTTTGTACTTGAGGAAAATGAGAACTGGTGCTGTGCTTTGCTTTTGACTTAATATTTTTTGTTGCTAACTGGCATGTGCAGTATAGTTACTTCAGAGAAATTTCAAGGGCAGGGAAGAGAGGTTGACATCGTGGGGTTTCAATGGGACACTCCACATACATGTTTGAGAGTGTCTTCTGCTAGAGTCAGAGGAATGGTCAGTGCTGAAGTAAAGGGAAAGCTCAATATTGCTTTCAAGCTGGAATAAGGTGTGTGTTTATCCAACCCTTTTAAATGCTTCCAATTTGAACTTCTTTAACAACATGTATGTTTTGTTTGTAGGAAATCAACATTTTTCAATGTGTTAACAAAGAGTCAAGCGGCAGCAGAAAATTTTCCCTTCTGTACTATTGATCCAAATGAGAGTCGAGTCCCTGTGCCTGATGACAGATTTGACTTCCTATGCCAGTATCACAAACCTCCAAGGTAAATCAAATTCTTAGCTTTTTCCTTCACTTAAGCAGTTGAAGTAGTATTACTGAAACATAACTTTTCGTAGAAGTTATATGCAATTATAATATCTTTAAGTTTTTACTGACATCTGTTTTAAAATATGAAATTCTACATGTACCTGGTTTATACCTTTCCCACACTCCCAATATGGAGGTATTTGTTGTATGACAATGCTAAACATAGCAGCTGCTAGTCACTGCTCTGCACTGTTTGGTGCTTGGTGTTCCTGTCTTCGAAGGTGGTAGCTCCCAGGTGACTTGAAGGATCTTCTGAAGAGATTTGGAACATGAACAGTAGTGGACATACCTAATGTGTCAAGAGGTTGCTAATTTGTAAGACTTCTGCTCTGTATTTTGTATTATTGAGAATATTGTATATGCTGTAGGTAGCCAAACAAGTGTTTGTTGACATCCTGCATCCTCAGGGTTTTGGCAGTAAGCTTTACAGGCAGCCAGAAACTTAAATAGGGCCTTCTGGCTTATTAATTTCAGTTTGCAGTTACTTGTGGAGGTGTCTTGAGTAGAGTGTACATAAATCATAGGGCAAACTAGCATACATGTCTGTGCTTTTGTTCAGCCCTTGGGCCTCAGTTTTACAGCCAGATCACACCCATGACTGAAAAAGATTGATTAGTCACTGATCAAACATCCATTTGCTAACTTAATTTTCAGGTTCAAGCAAGCTGTTTCCATCCATAATTATTATGTAAATTTTAAAAACTGCATTAATACGAAGCTGCTTGTTTAGGTGGATTGTTACAACATGTTGTCTTGTTTTTTCTGTTCAAGTCAGTGTTAGGCATACTTATTACTGCATAGATCATAAAACCAAAACTGCTGAATTAGAGACAAAACTTTCAGGCTGTTGATTGTGCAGAGACAAGAGTATGGCTTTTAATTTTTGTTGACAAATTGCTTCTAAACTGTAGTATTACTACTGCTCTGGCCACATCAATAATCTTTTTCTTCTCACTTAGCTATGAATGGCTACTTCTGAATTAACAGTTGAAGTGACAGAGATTATTACCTCTCCCCTCACCCTGCTTGGGCCACCTGTCCTCACAAGGAATGCTAAGGTTGTAAATAGCTGTATGTGTGTTCTCTGACTTGGAAACTTGCTCTCTCTGGAAAAAAAACCCCAAAACGTTTTTAAATGTTAATGAAAAGAGTATATTTGCTGAACCTGTATTCAGTAAATATACTGAGTCTGATAATAAGGTGGATAATCAGCTTTCATTTGAATGTTCTTCTGACACTTTTAAGACAATATTTGTTATTTTTAGACAATGGATGTGGGCATCAGTGGATAGTTAGAGCCCCTGAGTTCATTTATGCTGCTTATATAATTTTGATATTTTGCTGTAACAGTAATAAAGTAGTGATAATTAGTGATAATTCAGTAGTAAAGTAGACTGAGGTAACTTACTGGGCTGTTTGTGCTTGTCTGCCTGAGACTAACTCAGGAAAAGAAGGCTATAGTCACGAAGATATGCTACTGAATTGTAATTTAAATGTCTTAATTTCTCTGTATAGTCTTGATTTTGTCCTTCATCTTTATGTAATACGTTCTGTGTTAATTTTCTACTTGTTTGGATTAGTAGACGTAATCCATCTGTGTATGCAGAATGTTTTATAAACAGCGAATTCTTTTTAAATTAGACTCTTGTCTAGCCTCAAGATTTTTTTCTTTCAAAATTTAAAGCATTCAGGTTTTTACTTCCCATATGTTACACTTAGTCTTCACATAACTACAGCCACTGTGGGGAGGTGGAGGGGGGAAAAAAAGGGAGGATTTTGTCTTCGCTTTGGCCTGTCATGCATTATTTTAGTATCTTGCCTTTATTCCTGCTAAAAAAGAAGGGAAGAGCAGGAGGGCTGGGCTGGCAGTTGCTGTGTGTCACACTGAACAGATTGCTGCTGCCACAGCCAGACTGACTCAGTTGCCGAGAATACTGCTGGTATGAGTTTGTGGCTGTTCTGCTATTGGGGGAAGAGTTAGACTCTCCAGGTGCTGTTTGTTGCTGGAAGATCCATCCTCTTTCCAAAAGAAGAGAGCATCAGCTTGGTTAGGAGGGCTGGGCTGGCAGTTGCTGTGTGTCACACTGAACAGATTGCTGCTGCCACAGCCAGACTGACTCAGTTGCCGAGAATACTGCTGGTATGAGTTTGTGGCTGTTCTGCTATTGGGGGAAGAGTTAGACTCTCCAGGTGCTGTTTGTTGCTGGAAGATCCATCCTCTTTCCAAAAGAAGAGAGCATCAGCTTGGTTAGCATTGGTCTGCTGTTCCTTGGTAGCTCATGCCAAAAGCTAGCTGGTATTACTTAACTGGAAATGTAAATGTTTGTAAGTGAAATCACGTAGGGAACAGTTTAGAGACTGTTATGTACAGGTAAATCTGTGCTTGATAGAATAAGGCACACTGCCAGGACTTGTAACCTCTGCTTTTATCCTTTCTGCAGCAGTGGGATGTATGTGACTGTTGACAATAAATAAGTTCAGTGATATAGACTGTACACAGAAGGTGGACTCCAAGAAATTCCTGTAAAAAATGCTGTGTTGTTGCCAAATGATACAGAGAAGCAAATTTCTTTGAGCTGTAATGATACCTGTGTCTTGATTTTTGGTGTGAATGAAATTATGGATAGTAAGAAAAGAAGAAACTTTAATATATTACAACCAATTCTGAATGTTTGTTACTTTAAGGTCTTTGTTTATATGATGTTACTAACTCAATGTATGTATTTAAAGTACTTATTTGTTTGTTTGAAATTTTACACAATAGTGTTACATTGTGCACACATGTAGTTTTTTGAGAAAGGAGACTTGGCTTTTTGTTTTGTTGTTGTCCTACCTCTGTACCCCCAACACAGGTACTTTCAGGCAGGGTTTGACAGACTAGTGATTGGATTAGTTCCAGTTTAGTAATTGGAAAGAGGATATGTGCTTTAGATTGATTAACTTC